TGTTTTTCTTCGCAAAACTGTTTTAATGGCCTTTCTTTGGCTCGTGTTTACGCACTAGAAAAGAATTTTTCTTTTGGTGTAAACAAATCCTTGCGAAGCGTAAATATATTTGAGTTCAAACTGTTTTTATAGTTTTCATTTTGACTTATTTCTTCGTTTATGGCTTAAAAATCAAAATAAAGTAAACCAAAATGAATTTGTGTATTTTTTGGGATATCAAGAAAGTTGTTAATAAAAATAGAGAAAAATTCGTTATTAGCAAAATGGGAAACCCCGTGATATGGAACTTAAGAGCAAAGCCTTGTAAATCTTGCTAGTAATTAGACAATTAGAAACTTATATCAATAAAGGGCACAGGACATACATATATTAAAATAAAATAAAGCTAAGAAAAAGTTAACGACACACAACATGAAAACAGCAACATATATATATATGTGTGTGTGAAACAAGGCCAAGGGGTTAATAAAACAGAAGGCAATGCCAATCTATGGCCAGACCGAGGAGCCATAAAACGTCTGTGGGCGACGCCTCGATTGATAGCCAGTCGACAGCCAGGGGAGCAGCAGAAGCCGCTCCTCGTGCGGCTGACAACGAAAACAATCAACAAAAGGGCAAAAACAAACACTGAACAATGGCAACGAGTTGGACAATGGGGGCCCAGATAATCAACCCGGGGCACTGTGACAGTGATGGCAAATGGAGTACATGATAATAACTACGAAGAGAGGGGGGGAGGCAGACGTATCCTTTAATGGCCGCCAGACATTATCGTAGCTAGAAAATCGATAGAGCCCTCCATTTCAATTTCTCCAGAGCCCAATTGCCAGCAAAACTTCTAATATTTCACGCCAGGCTAACGCACGCGATGCACTTGCGTTTCCCCTATCCCTAGAGCGGGGCGTGGCGGGACGAGGGAGCAGGGTTTGCGTCAGGCGAGAAAAGTTTAAAAGTCATGGCAGTCACTTTTTGGACCCACGAAAATCTGAGCTTTCTCTCTCTCTCTCTCTCTCGCCAAAAAGCGTTCCCAACGGTGCGTTTGTATTTGTGTCTCTTTTTATCTATGTGTGAGCTCCAACTAGAAATGGGCGCGTGTCGATTCTGTCCAATAAGAAAACACACTACACTTGGATAACACGCGCGATCGAAAATTGGTTTATTTTGATATAAAATCAAATATATTCTTAATCAAAACGATAAGCTATTATGTCTGTATCTGTATTTTTCTATGCAAATTAATCGAAGAATTTCACGGTTACCTTACCAATCCAAAACGGCATATTCACATCTTTATTTGGTGCAAACGCGCGGATAATACGGCTAACTAACTGGGCAGACGCTCACAGACTCACATTCGCACTAATACACTCACTTATGCACGACTTATACATGTTTGTATGTGTGTAAGCTACGCTTACATTATCCGCAATGTCCACTCTCTGGATAAAGGCTCTCTGCTAGCACGCTGATCCGGCATCCGACAAACGCGTATTACACTTACAATTATCCTCTTTCGCTCTCTCTCTCTCTCTCTCTCTCTCTCTCTATCATTCTTTTCGGCAAAGCGGCCATTTTGCACACAATTTAAACGACGCGTAATTTACGGATTGCTAAATAAAAGTTAACGGGCGAAGAACTGATGGATAACTTATATACGACTATCTAATGCACACGTTACGAACTTAAAGCACTTAGCAATAGTTTAATTACAAATTTATTTAATCCGATATCCTACACACGCGCGGGGAATACGACCGATCGGTGGAAAAGTCGCGCACATACTGATCCGTCTATTAAAGCGCACGTCTATGCTAAGTGGGCTCTCGCACTTATTCTAGTTAAGAGCACGTATAAATATCAAAGCTAACGCTCTCTTATTGTTCAAAATGGACGCTGGTAAAGGCTTCGCATACAGCACCGCCAATGACAATAGCGCAGAGAGCATATAAATTAACTAGCTCCATGTAAGCATTCACAATGCTAGCATTGCACACAAGAGGAACAAACCTAATTAGAATTTAATTATCGCCTCTGTTCTCTCTGTCTCTCTCAGTTATTTATACATGCATCTATCCATTAGGCTCTTTTTATCCCTTAACGATGTACATAAAAAGAGAGCTTAGCAAATGAGTTACAATCGTTCCAATTGAAAATATTCCAAGCAAGTCCAATAAGAACCGGTTCGAACCTTGATTAGATACTCTGCTCTGCTAATATTGGTATATTATGTAGTTTTTATGTTTTGTTTTTTTCAAGTTGCCGCAGAATGATTTTCGAATTAACGTAAATACTTCCCGCCTTCTCCTCCTCGCCAGGATAATTGTTATTGCTGTCAACGTAAATAATACAAACTGTGCACGCAGGAGTCGCCTCTTCTGCACTTGCGCCACAGGAATGAGTCAGCTGCCCCCCCCCTCCCCACCCCTTGTGTTGCCGCTGAAAGGACTCTGAATTATTTATTTGCCGCTACTGAACCTGCATTTGCCCCTTTAATTGATTGGATCTGAACGACTTATCGACCCGATTGCATATAGTTAAAAAAGTTGGTTTAATTGTTAATTACATGTCATCGAAAATGTAAATGATTTTTCAATGATGTTAGAGCTTTTTAAATAGTTCGTTTAAATTCTTGCATTTCAGTTTAAGAATTAATATCGAAATTGTGCTTAAACTGAGCTTAAATTCAGAGCTGGACTAAAGTAAAAGAAGGCCTTAATTAGATACCTTAACATATTAGTTTAAAGTTTTTCATCAGCACAATTATTCAATTAACAATTTCAAGTTTAATCAATGCGACTCATTTATTTATTTATTTTTATATTGATTTATTTTTATAGATTTATAATTTTGTATTTTTATTTAAATTTTTACATAGATGGGCGCAGGCATTTCCCTTAATTTTTTAAATTAACTTAAAATTTATTTATTTAAAACACAAAACTAACTTTAAATTCAAGCCAAAACCTGTTTTCTGTGCCCCTTTCCCCTTTTCTTTCCATATTTCCAATGAAATTTCCCGTTTTTTATGCTTGGTTAATTAATTTCATTAGCTTTTTTATGGGTCAAGGCTGTGCGTGCTTTGCGTGTGCTCTACACATATGATATTTATGACTTGGCTTACGGTTTGCCAACTTGGGGATTGGCCATAAGCATATTGCCACGAAATGCACTGCAGAAGGCTGGTAGAAGAAGAAGAAGACACACATCCTTATGGCCAATTTACATGCCCGTCTAGCAGTACGAATAATAGTACGGAAAAGGTATTATATATGTTTACCAGGTGATATCGAATAATTAGTGTACCTGGCGCTATCAAAACTTTAGAAAATTAAATGAATATATAGCATAACTAATTTAAGCAAAGAAATTAGAAAACCAAGTTGAAGAACTCTAGACAAGAGTATCCGACGTGTGGATACCCTGAACCTTCTTCTACCAACACCAAATGCAAATATACATTCTATTTTAGAAGCAACATGTCAAGTTTGGTGAGTCCAGCTCTTTTATTTACCAAAATTGCTCAAAAAAACAGGATTTCGATATCGATTTTTATCGATTACTTAAAAACGGGGCATGTTATCGATGATCGGAAACAAGCTCGTACTGCGCATGGACTAAAAGGACCTACAGGCAAGTCAAGTCAAGTGTCAAGTCTCTAGCTCTTATAGGTTCTGAGATCGGACAGACTGGCGGGCATGGCTAGATCGACTCGGCTGTTGATGCTGATTAAGAATATATATACTTTATGGGGTCGGAGATGCTTCCTTCTGCCTGTTACATACATTTGTACACATACATTATACCCGTTTTAACCGTTTTCAATAGGTTCAGGGTATAAAAACAAGTTAGAGAGCTCTAGACAAGAGTATCCGACGTGTGGATACCGTGAGCCTTCTTTTACCAACACCAAATAGCTATGAAATGGAAAGATACTCGATCTGCATATAATAATAATATATTCTATAATATTCGAAAAGCTACTTGTCAATTTTAATGACTCTGGCTCTCAAGACCCAACAAGGACATACGTTCGATTCTCCGGCTTTCAGAGGTTCTGAGAGGCCGGACGAACATGGATAGATAGACTTGAAGATTGATATCTGATTCTAATCAAGAATATATATATACTTTATGGTGTCGGAGTTGCCTTCTTCTGCATGTTACAAACGTTACCACAGATACATAATACACCTTTTACCCGTTTTCAATGTTTACAGGGTATATAATGTAGCACAACAATTTAACTTAAAATTCGGCAGAAATACGACTAATAGCCTAATTCCACTAACCACATTTCTAACATTTTTTGCGAATGTTACATTTTTGAGAATGTGAAGTGTAAGTTCTCCCATAAGAAACCACATTTTTCACATTTGCAATAAAATGTTGGTGTTCGTCACGAGTAATTCATTTTTTTCCGATTATTTAACAAATGTCGTTTCGATGGAAAATAGTTTTTACTTCAATATGTTACCGACATTAGACATTTGCCAATGGAATCGCAGAATGCAATGTTAGTAAATGCAACAAATTGTGACAGTTGACGATTGTTTTAGGTATGATATGTATATATATGTCAAGGTTTATAAAAATGTAAAACAATCTTTGTTTAACTTTGTTTTTCAACATGTTTCTTGACCATCTAAACTAAGGTTCGCCAAGGACCTTTCAGGTACTTCAAGTCATTGTTAAGCTCTTTGTAAAAGAGTTTGTTCTGACTGATTGTCTGATTGGTATCTGCGCGGTAGGTCGCCGGTTCGAATTCGGGCGAAATTTGGGGATCGAAGCCCCGTAAAAGAACAGTAAGTAACTTGAAATTTGAAAAGTCTAGCAAAGCAAAGCAAACGCTCGCAGACAACGTCACTAACATGTCCTGCAAGACGTCAGGCCAGACGAATTGTCTCTGAATGTCCTGCATAGCTGCTGCAACTTGATTTGCTGCTGTAGAACATCTTCGACTACTTAGTTGGAATATTTTGTTATATATTTAGTTTTCTCACCGTTCTCGATGGTCTCCTTGGCACAGGATATGATTTTGCCTTTGCGTCGTCGCAAATTCGATTCGAAATTGTTGTCCTCGCTGAGGTCCTCGTCCCGCAGAGCAGCAGCTCCTGCCATGGCAGCAGCTCCGTCGCCGGCTGTTGTTGTTGTTGTTGTCGTCGACTCTGGCACATCCTCCGAGGACTGCCGCTCCTCAAAGTCGCCGCCGCCGTGAATTAAACTATCAAAACTTTGGCTCATCTTGTGCCAAAATCAAAATATAAACCAAAAAACAAATATTGTTTTTCAGCTTCTTTCTTGTTCTTGTGTTTTGTTTTCTATATGTTATTAGCTTATTTTTTTTTTGATAAATTGCTTTCTCGAAGTTCTAAAGGATTCACTTGATGTTGAGTTCAACAATTGCGTCGCGTGTTTATTAAGTAAAAACGGAAGCCTGTGAAATATGTTCATTAATCATTTTTTTTACAGTTACAGTTTTCGATTAAAAGGTAGAAACGAAATTCAAACACGCAAAATAAAAGTAATACAAGTTTCTGTTGTTAACTCCCGACTTTGCAATACTCTTACTTGTGATCAAAGAAGAGAGCTTATTCGCTCTCGATCATAAAATGCCTTCGGTTAGATTAACTGTTAATTAAATCTCTTAAGCTGTCGGCAACAGAGATTTGCGGCATTTGCAAGAGAACAAAATCTTTAACACTATCAAACGCACGAATATATTAAGAATATGAAGGCTCAAGCTGTTGCCAACTCCTGTCTTTGCAATACTCTTAACTTGTAATCAAAGAAGAGAGCTTTCGCTCTCGATCATCAAAGGCCTTCGGTTGGATTAACTGTTATTTAAATCTCTTAAACTGTGGGGCACAGAGATTTGCGGCATTTGCAAGAGAACAAAATCTTTAACACTATCAAACGCACGAATATATTAAGAATATGAAGGCTCCAGCTTGGAAAAACTCTTTCATTCGCGCTGTTAACAGCGTACACAAAGGAAAAGAAAACGAAAACACGCAACGCATAAAAAAAAATTCAAAAAGAACAAAAACTCGCGCAAAATGCCAAACAGTTATCCGTTTGCTACGCCGGCTGGCTAAGTGAGGGTGGGAGGGCGCGGGGTAAAACTACAATGAACGGGATCTTGCCAGCATAGCAGCCCCCAAACCACACACCCCCCTCCCACTCAACCAATTCACAAATTCAAACGTAAATTTGAATGTGCGTGGACGTCAGAACTGTTTCTTGTTTTGCCTACTTTGTTGTTGCTCGTCAAAGCCGCATTTGAGCAACAACAACAACAGCGAGAGTGGCACTCGAAACCGTTATTTCATAATCGCTAAGAAGCGATTTAGGTTAAGCCAATGCCACAACAACAGCAAAAACAACGATAAATGCTTGTTGTGACTTTTTAGCATAGCACACTTTTTAGCGCGTAACTGTATTGTTTTTTCTTAGCTCATTTATTTGTATTATTTATCAAATACCACAAAATGTTCTAATAATTATTTAATGCGCACGCGGTTCAACACTCGTTTGCACGCTGGAAAATGCCGTCAGAGACTGAAATGACACGCAAATGTTGAACGAAGCGATTTTTCAACACGGCTGCACAACGAAAAGAGAGTGTGGTGAGTTTCACATTTATTGATTTTGTTGCGTGCGTATGCGTGTGCGTCTATACAAAGCGAGAAGCAACACAGAAACGCAAAATTTGTGTCGCCTTTTTTGTTTTCATACACGCTCTATGACAGCTCCATCAGGGGCGGGGGCATGGGCAGCGTGTCCGTGTTAAGGGAGCGCGGCTGCAGCATGCAAAAAGCCGGCAGATAACAAAGCAAAGCACAGAGCAAAGCGCGCAAAGAGCAAAAGCAAGAGTAAAGTGAAAAGCATTGCGCCAGCCAAAAAGAGCAAACATATGATGACGACTTTGTTTGTGCTCTTCCCCTTTCACTGAAGCGTTCGTTAACTGTTAATTATAACTGTAGAAAGCAACTTGAATATATGAAGGTCTGGTTATTAAAACTAGCATAAAAAAAAAATTTAAAAAAAACATTAAAAAAAAAATTTTAAAAAAAAGTTTAAAAAAAATAAAAAAAAAATATAAAATGCAATTAAAACTTAAAGTTGTCTGTGTTTTTATTTAATTTTATATTAATAAAATCAAACGAAATGCACAAGATGATTAAATTTAATGAAATTAATAATTTGAATGCAACATTCATTATTTGCATTGCCAATACAAATTATATGTAACTCATATAATATTGTTTTACGTATATATCAATGTTTATATAAGATTTACATAAATTATCTTTGTTCGCGATGAATTTTGTTTTTGTATGAAGAAAGCACAATTGAAATATTTGATAGATTTGTTGGGTTTTTGGGTGTGAAATATGATGAAGATCTAGTCAAAGTGCTTTAAAAGTATATGCATATTATATAGAATACTAATTTAATTCCATTCCTCCTCTTCCTCCAAGTTGTCAATGTGCCCGTTTTTAGCCTGTGGAAGGGAAAAAAAAAATTAATTTTTAGCAAACTGAAATTGAATACCCTTACGGCTAGCTTGGAAGAAAGCATCTTAAAAAGCCATATAGTATATACATATATATATATATATATATATATATATAGGTATGGTATGTTAAGATCATGTCAGAGCTCGCAAATGCCAAGTTTGATTAAAATATCAAACATAAATTGTTTATAAAGAAACTTAACTTTCGATCGCTTATTCCCATGACATGATTTTACATATTCATTAGGCTATAGATACTGATCAAGAATATATATAGTCATGACGTCAGTTACCATAATCTCTCTACAGGTAATAACAATAGATATTATAAAATAAATACTAACACCGCCGCGAACATCAATGCCGCCAAACTTGGAGCTACAATAGCTGCTGCTGCCGCCGCCAATTTCCTTAAGAAACTCCGGCACCTCTTGGCCGGAACCCTCCAAGATCTTGATCAGATCAGCGGCAAGTGTGCGATCCTGTTCTGGATCAAAGAATGATGTGGCACGTCCACTATTGCCCACACGACCAGTGCGTCCAATGCGATGCACATAATCATCAATATTGGTGGGCATATCATAGTTGATAACATGCTTTACATTCTTAATATCTGCAAAAGGATGCAATACGATAAGTATATGTATATTTTTGGAAGGGTGTAAAAGCCGACTAACCAAGACCACGCGAGGCAACCGATGTGGCAATGAGCACCTTCATGGTGCCAGTCTTAAAGTCGCGCAAAGCCTGCTCGCGCTGACTCTGCAGGCGATCGCCGTGTATGGAGGTGGTCGGGAATTCGGTTTCCGAAAAGAACGAGGCGAGAAAATCAGCGCCACGCTTTGTCTCCACAAAGACAATGGTGCCATCGGCGCCTTCGCGTAATATTTCCTACAAAATAAAACCAGACTAGTTAAAAGAAACAAATAAAGAATGTATACATTTGACTTGCCATCAATTTGGAGCGTTTGTTAAACTTGTTGACCTCGTAGACGGTCTGCTGCACATCGGAGCAGGCGCCGCCGACAACGCCAATGGTAACAAAGACATAATTTTTTAAAAATTCACCAGCCATGCGCTGGATTTCCTCCGGGAACGTAGCCGAGAACATCAATGTCTGATGCTCCGCACGCATGGTCTGATGATGCATTATCTTGCGCATACTATCCGAGAAGCCCATGTCCAGCATGCGATCGGCCTCGTCGAGAACAATGAAACGTGTATCATCGAATGTTATGAATGTGCGATCCACAAAATCAAGAAGACGACCCGGTGTGGCAATCAGCACATGACAACCCTTGGTAATGCACTCGTTCTGATATTTGAACGAGGTGCCGCCATAAACGAGACTTATCTTCAGATATGTGGTAAACGAAAATTTTCGAGCCTCGTTAAAGATCTGTATGGCGAGCTCACGCGTCGGCGAGACAATCACCGCCTGCGGCTTGCCAATCTCTAGATCATGACTCTCATCCAGAATGTTGTTGAGTATGGGCAGCAAAAAGGCGGCCGTTTTGCCGGAGCCCGTCTGGGCGCAGGCCATCAAATCACGTCCTTCGGCAATTACAGGTATCGATACCTTCTGTATGGGCGTGGGCACCACATAGCCCGATTTGACCACATTCTCCAGCACAATGCCGCGCAATCGCGCGCTCTCAAAGTTCTTAATGGGTTGCGGCACATTTTCGCCAGTCACCTGAAATGCATATCATGATTTGTGAGTTAAGTTACAGCAATTGCTTGACTCGACATACCTTGACGGGAATATTATCGTATTTGGCAAAATTAATGCCCGACGAGATGCCGGTGCTAAACATTTCGGTCTCGTCATTGGTCGGCTCGGGTGGTATATAAAACTCCCTGGCCTTCTTTTCACAATCCTCGCCGCCATCCTCCTGATTGTTGTTCATGTCGCCGTCGTCGCGACGGCGACGTTCAAAGCCACCGCGTTCACGAACAAAGCCGCCACGACGATCTTCGCCTAATGGATTTCAAAATTAGAATTATAATTAAATAGAAATTCACAAAGTACAACTACAATGCGATATTTGTTAAACATGCAAGCAAACGAGACAACATTAATATACGTTATTTATTGCTATACTTCTTTTTATTTATAAACTAAAATATAAAATCCAGTCGAAATCGAATAAAGTATACTTTTTTTTTAGATTGATCATTTTGGAACTAACTGCAAATTAGATATGTATAGATATATATCTTCTTTGATATCTATGCAAGGCTCGTCTTACGCTCTTAATATTTTTTTGTTGTTTTCTTTTTTATATTTATAAACTATATATATGAAATCCAAAGTCAAAGGACGTCATTTCGGCGACTTAAAGTAGCGAGGCATACCGCGCATCGGGGCTTAGACTAATTATATTGGCTGCCTTCAGCTCGAGGAGCACACGAAAAGCAAATGCTGCCTCCATGCGCGTCTCGATGAATCCAGTCGCACGCATGTCAATCTGGTCGTTCCTGATCAGTGCTCCGAGCAGATTGTGCACAACACGAGGCTTCCACTCGGGCATTTCCAAGATCATTTGCGGATCGTATGTGTATATAGCAGGCAATGCAACATACCGAATGTTCTGTGCTTCCCCGCTCTCATCGGCCTCCACTGTGGGATGGGATCTGTTTGCGAGCGATTGATAATTTCGTAGCTGATCTTCCCGCTGCTGTTTATCACTCAAATGCTTAGTTTGATCCACCATGACACGCAGCAAGTGCTTGTGCTCCACTAAAAAGCTTAGGTCTTCACGAAGCTCACGTTCTACACGTTCCGATTTGGTGAATTGTCTCATTTCCGCACATTGATCAGCGTCCACCAAGATCGGGCTACCAGTGGTGCTTACTTCTGTCAGATTAACTAATTGTCCAGCATCTGAAATTGCACTGGGCGGTTTGCATATAACTTCAATGGCCGTCACAATCGGTCTTTCCGGCAAATCAGCCAAATTTATAGAGGTTGTTGCCAGCTTTATGGCTTCTGCCATTGCTGGTAGCTTTTCAGTCAGCCCATCCGTCTGCATTGGTAATACCTGCGGCTCTATGCCTTCTGCCGCTGCTGCTGACCTGTCGGGAAGCTCATCGGTCTGCATGGGTAATGCCGGCGGCTCCGTGCCAGCTGTTGGCTCAGTCGGCGGCGGCAGCGGCACTTCTGCTGGCATTTCATCCGCTTGATGCGGGACGACGTCGACTGCATTCGTTTGTTGCTCTATTTGTGACCATCTTTCCTGGAACATATTATTCAAAAATCCGAGCATAACCTCATCATCGCTGGGCGGCTGTGCTACCGTCGCTGGACGCCTGCGTCTGCGTCGGCGTCTGGGAGGAAGTTGAGGTGTTGTTGTTGTTGTTGAGCTAGGACTGAGTACATAATTTGGAAACTCTGTGCGTTGACGAAAAATTGAGGCCCAATCGCGAGTCAATGGTGGTGTAGTATTTGCTGGCGGCGCAAATGAAATTGGAGTATTGGGAGCAATTGCATCAGCTTGATCCGTTGTTGCTGCTGCTGCTGCTGCTACTGTTTCTGCTGTTGCTGTTTCTGCCGTGTAATCCTCATTCAATTCAAGCACACGCGGCGTTGTGACTCGTTTCTGATTCTGTTGCTCCTCATCGATGGCCGGCAACTGGGTGCGATACGCTTGCAATAGGGACGATGCGAGCGCATGACGTGAACGCAACGGCAGCGACGTTGAGGTATTGTTCTCCCCACCAGTAGCACCTCTCTCGCCCAACATAGGCGATACCACTGGCACTGGTGGGTACAAAGTATGCAGACCTTCGTCCGTTAAGCTGGCTGCCTGACTCTCGCCAGTCGGTATGGAAAGTAGGCTGTGAATTGTGTGAGTGTTTGTGAGTACCAATCATGAATATCAACATTGAAATAGAAATGTGAAGTTGAGCGAAAATAGATGAGCATGCGAGATATACAAATGGGAAGTATCAATTGTTAGATATAACTGATAGTTGAAGCGGTTTTTAAGGTATTCGTTTAAGCTCAATTTAAAGCTCTTCGCTTGAAGGCGTGAGCACCAAATGTTGGCATTAAAAGCTGGCAAAAAGAAAATTGTACTTTATACTTCTTATTTGAAGGCCGAAAATCTTAGTAAATGCCAAAGCGAGACTATGGGATTTGTGGGAATGGTTGTATCCAACTTTTTCTTACTCATTCCTCCAAACGGCTTACAGATCTTACAGAGAAAATAGAGTGTCACAAGACGTTCACTCGATAAGTTAAATGGCAAAACAGACTCAGCTTAGTATTCCCACGGGTGAAATATAAAATCCGAGCTTAGCCGGTTAATACCTGACAATATGTATATATATATATATATAGTAAGTGTTTCTGGCAATACACACAAACATAAACACATTTAATTCATTTTCAAGTTTGTCACAAATGTTTCGAGTGTATGTCAAAATTGTTAGTACCCAAAATAAAAGTTGTGTGTGTGTAAGAATATACCATTCCATCGAATTGGCTGTTGTTTCCATATCTAGACTAATGCAGGCAAGGCAGTTGGCATAAGGTAAGTGCAAAGAGACACACTGCCAGAGACAGAGATTGGGAGATACAATAGAAAGCGAGAGAAAAAGAGAGAGAGAAAGAGAGAGAGAGAGAGAGAGATAGCGAATTGTTTGCGTTGTATACCCAACATTGGAGATTAGTTGTGCGACATTTCTGGGTGCGAGTGGTGTGGCACCAGCTTGACTGTCCTGAACATCCGACAGCAATCTGTCCCGGTCTGGTGTGTACTGACTGTGCGATTGTAGAACCCGGCTCGGTAAAGGCGCTACACTGATTGCCTCATCTTGGTCCCGAACCAGCTCCAGCTGCTGCTGCTGCCGCATTTGCTGCTGCTCTGGCGCCGTTGGCACAAGCCAAGCTCTTGCTGATACCGGCGGCTGTTTGTTGTACATCCAGACCGGATTGTCTTCCAGATCCGGCCAGGGCAGCTCCTCGCACATTTCGCTGGGATTATAAGAGCGCAGCTTACGCATTTCGCGCAGCTGCATAAAATTCTCAGATAGCCACCGTACTGGAAATTCTTGTTGTCGCTGCTCGTCGCTTGGCATTGGTGTCATTGTTGGCATTGCCTCGTCCGTTGCAAGCTCCAGTTTGCCACCATTTAGTTCATACTCAGATGCGGCTCTCTTGAGCACTTTTCTGATGAGCTGTATGGCCTGATCCAAGCTTTTTTGGGGCGCAGCAACAGTTTCTTCGCGTCGTGCCCGTACATTGGACATTCTAACAGGCGTTCTTGTTTCTGATGCTCTTCTGTCAGGTGTTGCTGTTGTTGTTGTTTCTGGCGCTTTTGTTATTGGAATTGTTGACGCAGCCATTGACATTTCGCGTCTTTGCTGGGCGCACGGCACCACAATTGCGTCGTCAATGAACTGCTCGGCACGTGTTCCCCCTCCAAACGGCAAACCCCTAAACTGCTGCAGCTCTTTTTCGGATGCTTCCAGCAATTGAGCCACCTCTGCCATAACACGATCCGAACTGACGGCAGCTGCGGCGCACAACTTTTTAAACTTCTCCTGGCGCTGCTTACGCTCGGATTCCTGAACCGAATTCCATTCACTGTTCACCAGCGAACTGAAAGATTTTAGCAAATAGTCGCGCTGCTCACGCAGCTTGACCAGCGACTGGTTGGGTACATTTAGGTTGAGACTCTCAATATATTTAGACACCGTGTCCGCATCGTAGCTGTTCGGCACGCGCGGGCCATGGCCGGTTCCACTGAGCATCAGCTGAGCCACTGTTAGCGTTACAATAGTTGAGACGAGATACAAGAACAAACGACACACAAACATATAGTTCGACATATAGATATTCAGTTACATCACATGAGAAACTATCTTACGATAGTTGCTGCTTTTGCTAAATGCACAAAGACGAACAACAGCTACTAAAAGTATATCTACACCCTTACGGACCACATTGAAAATATTATTATCTTCTAAGCATATATTATCTTGAGTAGCAAACGGTCATTCATTTAGTATACCCCGACTACCTCTATGGAAGCTCCATGCATATGCTTATTTTGCTTATTTTATTCATTTTGTTTACCAATTACAAGACTTGATGATAGTAATTCGAATTCGAAGTTAATGACAAAATTTAAATACCCCCTACAAATACTGATAAATGTTCATGTAAGTTTCTATTATATGAAATCGAAACAAGGCTCCTTGAATTAGATAATTTCGTAAATTTCGAGACAAAACTTTAATAACCTTCAAAAGATCCATACTTTGTTGTTATGGTTCAAATGTAGAACACTATCTTAATAGTTGGTCTAAACCGTTCCCGAGTCAATTTGGAGTTAAACCCAAATTATTTCCTAGCCCTCATGGTTTTATGGAATATCATGTAGTTTACTCACCATCGTCGTTGTCACGTTTATCGCGGTAGCCACCTCCGTCGCCGTCATCCCGGCGTCCGCGATAGCCTCCGCCTTCGCCGTCGTCACGACGTCCACGATAGCCTCCTCCTTCGCCGTCGTCACGGCGTCCACGAAAGCCTCCTCCTTCGCCGCCATCACGTCGTCCACGATAGCCGCCTGCATCAGCGTCTTCACGCCGTCCTCGATAGCCGCCTCCTTGGCCATCATCGCGACGTCCGCGATAGCCACCTCCTTGGCCATCCCCACGATAGCCCTTGCCATTGCCATTGCCATCGGCACCTTGACGATTGTCAACAGCTACTTCTTCATCGCTCCATTCCGACACTGTCTTCTTATTGGATGATGCCTCCCCTTTGCTTTCCCACTTATCATCAACGTGGGGTTTGTGTATAGGCTGATTGGTGCAGTCAGGCTAAGCATTAATGTAAATTGTAACTATAGTACACTTTTTGTATTATGCCCTTCTTTTTAACTTACCTCATCATCCCAGTCGGACATGGTTTTAGTTCGTCGTTAACTGCTTTGGGAAGATAACATATATTAATATAATTATATTCAAATTGTAAATAAACGACAGCTTCAACAGTTTAGCAATAGTTTCAACTAAATTAGTCTATATGCAAATAAATGAATTGTAGAATTTGTATATCGCTCACTAAACACAGCAACATATATATCAGAGCGCAAAAATTCAAATGCAACGCTTTTAACAGCAATGCTAACAGTCTACTAAACACAACACTGCATTCTGTTTTTGCCATTCACAAACGCAAACGAGCGCAATGTTAAGCGCTGAGGCGCAATTATGTTAAACGAAAAACGTGAGTTGCTCTGTTCTGTGTATGTATACACAGCATGCTTGCGTTTTTTTTCGCCTTGCCTTCTTTTGGTAGTAGAACACATGTGCGTTTGAGTGGTATATGTATATGTGCACGTTAGTGTGTAGCAGCCAAAGCAGAAACGCAGAAAATTAAGGTTAGAGCGCAGCCAGGCAACCACACGACGACGAAGAAAAGAAAAAATAGCAAAAAGCAAGACTAAAAAAACGTATTTCTTCTATATTCTCACATACACCAACACACAACACACATACAGACACACACAAATACAGGCGCAGCAGCAGCGACCAAACACACACGAGTTTTTTCCTGACAGAAACACTCTTGAAATTCTGTGTGTGATTTTTGCATAAAATCAGTTGTGTGTGGAAAAATCAATTGGAAGATATATTGCCATACAATAATAACAGCAGCAGCAGCAACAGCAGCCCAACAACAACATGGATAGCGCCGGTAATAATCGTTATGAACTTTTGTTCATGGACGATGATGTTAGCGATCCATTAGATAATCTTGTCGCGGCCAAGAAGAAGCAGCAGCCAGCGACTGGCGCCGCAGCAGCCACCACAAAAACGGCGCCAACGGCAAAGGCACCAAAAGCAGCAGCGGCAACAGCAGCATCAGCAGCAGGAGCCAAAAAGCCAAATCAAGCCGAAAAGGAAAACAAACCAGGTGCATTGAACAAAAATGATGGCAAGAAGAATGCAGCTGGCAACAACAATGACAAACTTAACAACAACAAGCAAGGTGGGGCTGCTGTCGCTACGCGCAATGCTGGCAGCGCTGCTGCGGGCAAAACACGTGAAACTGGTCAAGGGCAGCAGCAGCAGCAACAGCGTAATGTCAATTTTCGTCAACAGAACGGAGGCGGCGGCGGGGGCAGCGAGGTAACGCGCGAGCAGCGCAACAATCGCCGCAATGTGCGCGAGAATGGCGCTCCAGGTGGCAACTCTGGCAACGCTGCTGCCGATGGCAATCCTAGATCATATCGCACACCCGGCGGCGCCGGCGGCAGCGGCGGCTTTGGCGGCGATCGTCCACCACGTCAGAATCGCAACTTTGATGGCGCCAATCGTAAACGTGAATTTGATCGTCAATCGGGCTCCGACAAAACTGGTGAGCATCCAATATATACATACATATATACACATGCATTTATGCTGGGGTTTACACCCTAACCCCAAAACAAAAGGTTGGCCACAAAATTAACTACTCGCTCTTCTACAAAATTAATATCTTTAGAAATGTATTAAAAAAAAAAATAATAATAAGAAACGAGTAGGCACCAACTAAATTGAGTGTTGCGCGCACATTTCATTAGTCTGATATGTTGTTGTATAGAAAAATATGTTTAAAAATAGTTTGATTCCTCTGCAGGCGCCCCCGTCCCTCTGCCCCACACTGCACTGAATGTAGGCAGGCCCACACAGTTTTCCACGCCATGGAACATTATGATTGAAGACAGGGGCGCACAGAAGGGGGGGCCCTTAGTGTGGGCGGGCAGCAGGGGGCGTGTGTTGCTAATATATACTCAACCACAACGTTACATGCTCTAAACTGGAATTTCTATTAACTATTTAAATACTTTTTCTAACATTTTAGATGATCTTACTTTAAAAAAAACCCTATTAAAACGAAAGCTACATTTGGTTACGGCGTAGATAAGAAAATCGAATAGCCCGTTCCTTATCTGAGATTTTCCAACACTATATCTACAAGTGTTGATTAGTTACATTTTTCACTTACCGATTTGTCGTAAGAAATTTCTGATAAAAAAAGCGAACTTTGCCAATGCTGTAAAAGAAAAGAAAAACAGAAATATTTTATTAGATTGAAAGTATAGTCCGAATTTAAAATAAAACCAAATTCGAATATTTCGTTAAAACAGGTGTAAAGTCAATCGACAAACGCGACGGAGCTGGCGCCCACAATTGGGGATCAGTTAAGGAAGCCATCGATGATGTGAACAAGAGCAACGAGGGCGGCGAGACCAATGCGAACAATACCAATGCCGATGGAAAGGCCGATGAGTCCGGCAATGAGCAAACCAATGAGCAGCAGACACCGCCAGAGGAGGAGACCAAAGAGCTAACCCTGGACGAATGGAAGGCACAGCAGCAGCAGCGCATTAAGCCCAAGTTCAACATACGCAAGGCGGGCGAAGGTGGGTAACATGACAACGAAATAGATCTAAGCATCTAATCTACCTTTTCATGAATGAAAATAAGGAATCGTGGGATCACCCCCTTTGACTATATCTAGCAAAATCGATCAATATCAAATTAATTTGTAGGAGATAAGCTAGAAAAGACAGTGCTGTGAAATAGAAAAATATATTTGCCCGTTAATTAGCAAGCTTTAATTCCATCCATTCCAGTGCTGTGAAATTTGTATATATAGAAATTTTTGTATATTTCAGACGTTTCCATTTTCTATTTCCATTTCTAAGCTAACAAATAAGCTAATGTATGAGTAGCATATGCCTTCTGAGAATTTCAAGTGTTTCAAAACGGTTAAAAAAAAGTTTGTCAAATGAATACGAATGTAAATTTTAAATATCCGAGCGCATCACATTTTGAGTTTATATTTCATCGATATTAAATTGGATTGAAAACTAAATGAACCTAAACGCTTTTACAGGTGAGGACACCTCGCAATGGAAGAAAATGATTGTGCTGAACAATAACAAAAAGAAGGAGAACGAAAGCGAAGAGGAACTTGAATACGATCCTGCCATGTATCCGCAGCGCGTGGGCCGCCAGCAGCGCGTCCTTGACATTCAGTTCAATTTCAATGACGGTCGTCGCGGCGGCGGCAGCGGTTTCGGTGGTCGCGGCCGTGGTGGACCACGTCCGGGCGGACCACGCAACGAGGGCAATCGCGGCGGACCACAAGGCGGCGGCGGCGGCGGTGGCGGCGCTGGCAATGCCGATGGCGGCAATATTGGCGGCGGCGGCGGCGGTCCATCGGCTCGTCTTGAGGGCGGCAGCCGGCCACCAATTGAACGTCGCGGCTTGGGCGGCGGCATTGGCGGTGGTCATGCTGGCAAGCGTTTTGGCAACGAGCGGCAACAGAATGCCGCACCCAAGGTCAACGATGAGCGCCAATTCCCAACGCTCGCCTAAGCAGCGCGATTGGAGATTAGGCTAGAGGAGGAGGAGGGCGCTTCTGCTTCTGTTGCTGCTGTGGCAGGCGCCGGGAGTGCATTCAATTTTAGAGTTGGTGTCTGTATTAGGAGCAGGAGGAGGAGAACAGTTTACCAATATATCAAACACACACACACACACACACCAACACACACACACCCACACACAAACATACGAATTGTAAGCGAGAGTTAAATTTTCATTATAAGGCGGCCGCAGCGCAGCCAAAGCCAAAAGCAAACAAAAAAATAAATAAATAAAAACAATAACAAAAAACAACAACACAGCAAATGAGAGAAATTAAATATATATATACACAATAAATTAAATATGGAGATAAAAAAAAAAAACTAACAAAAAGCAAACTGTAAATCTAAGCAAAGGCAATTTAGAGAGCAAAGTTTCTATTTCTATGATACATTGTAAATTTGTTGGTTCTCTTTTATATTTTTACCCCAACGCCGCCCCCTCCCCCACCCCTCTAACAATCATTTTCTTAACCCAACACAAGGTTCATTAAAACTCACCACACGCACACACAGACACAGTACACTTCCCGCTTTCCAGTGACAAAAAAAAGAGAGAATATTAATAACAAGAAGAAGAAGATAAACATCACGAGTTTCTCATTGTTGGAGGCAAAGTTTTTAGAAGCGCATTTTCATGCACACATACGCATACAAAACACTTACACATACATACATATATTTTTGTTAAACATTTTTATATGCCATGCCCTCATATAAAAATGCATTTTTTTTTTTAATTTTTACTGTGTTACACTTGTATTTTAAAAATTAATAAATGAACAAAAAAAACAATAATAAATAGAAAACGATGGAAAAAAACTATAAAAAAAAACGCGGTAGTACGGAAATTAAAACAAAATATGCTAAAAGAAAAAATAGAGGAAAAAAAAAACAAATGTGTTGAAAAACTTGTAATTTTGTTTCTTAAAAAAAAAAAAATAATGCTATATATATATATGCACACAAGTATATATATGTATATGTATACGTATACCGCTATGATGCATACTCTATTATATTAATTATAAATCCAATTATGTGCATCGTATATACTAAATTTAATCAAAGCACACACTGAAAATGAAACAATTTTAATTTAAGCATTATTCAAAACAACAAATCTATATTAACTATCGGAGAAAAACTATATAAAAACCTTATTAAGTAGAGTTGAACACACGCGACTTATGATAAAATCAGTTTGAAAAAAAATCGCTTAAAAAAAAATAAAAAAACAAGAAAAACATAATAAAACCAAATCCTGTAAAACCTGTAAAGTTTTATGCTATTACAATTAGAAATTGTATAAATAATCTATATATATATATATATTAACATATATATACTTCTATATATGTATGTGCATGCTCACGTATGTGTGCATGTATTTGCATGATAAAAAGTTGGTAACGAGAAAAAAAAACATGGAACGGCAACAAAATTTTACGACTAATCCATTTAGAGATGAACAAATCCAAAAAAAATACAACATACATTTTTTGACTAATATTGTATTGTATTTTGAGCCCAAAGAATGAAACAAAACACAAGCCCAATTCAACAAAATCGTTGAGAGAAACTCGTTTAAAATAACATGAAAAAAAAACACAAAACTTATTTGATAAAAATAAAGAAAAACACACAAAAAAAAACTCTCAATTGGTGTTTCGATTGACAATTAACAATTGATAAAAGCGTAGAACCGCTATTTTGATTGTATTTTGTTCGGAATTATACGAATTTTACTTTTTTTGAGGTTAGTTTTTTCTATTCTGTTGAAACGTTTTTGAATGGGAAAAACTTATTTATTTTTAGCAAGTGAAATTACACTAAACGATCCAAAAGCTGTTCAACTTAATTCGTTTATTGTCTTGGCCTTCTCTCTGAGCACTCTTCGCCAATTCACAATGCGCGCGCGTTTATCCTGAACGAATTTTGCTGGTTCACAATTGACTCAACTGCACAAGAACTGTTGCTCTCAAAATTAAGCAAACGTGAAAGCAAAAGGGAATGCCGAAATAGTACAATTAAAACGGAGCTCCAAAGAAGAAGAAAAGTATGCACAAGCGCGAATGCCAAAACATGTAGTAAAATCAAATTGAAGGTTACAATATGTAATTTCACATAATTCAACACACTTTAGTATTAATGTAATATAGCGTTATTTCACCGTTTTCTTTGCAATTTTAAATTCTTGTGTTAAGCACTCACCTCCTGTATGTATATTTGCAAGCTGTTAACGTCCAAGCTGGACGACTGAAAAATTAGAATGAAAGCCTTAGAGAGAAATATGAAACGACAGATCGGAGAGTAACCGATATATTTATTTGCAAAATTCAGTGTTGTCATCAGCTGCCGAGCTATGCAGAATTGTCAGAATACCAAGAAACATAGGCACTTCTGTCGTCGTTTGACAACCCTAATATATAACGGTGAAATACAAGCGAGACACGAGAATGCCGATTGGGATTAAAAGAAATTGAAAGAGAGCACTTCGGCAGCGATTGTGAAACGCATTTTAAGCCATGTATGTGCATGCATGCTTTAAGTTGTGCACTAATTTAAATACATACAAAAAACATATTTGCCGATTAACTAAGTAGGCTTGCTCATCACACGAAATGGTATTTTTGTAATTGACATTGGAGAACCACTTAATAAAATGAAACTTCATAATCCAAATTTATGATAATTCCAAATTTGGCTTAACCACAAGCGTATAAAAAGAAACCGAAAGAAATTTGAGTCTTTTTTGCCATCAATCATATGTTAACTTTAAATGCACTTTTAATAAACATTATGCACACTCACCAAAAGTTCAGAAATATATATTTTTGCAAACACCAGCGTAAATTGAATAATATATTAATGCTACCGCGCCCGTTCGAAACTTTACGTCCTTAATGGCTGTTGATGTTTAACAGAGTGTGGCAGTGCGACCGACGTTCAACGATCACAAAAATACCATACCGTTAACAGTAGGACAACTAATGTTAAACTCAAAATGGCACTCTTACGTGTGCAGAAAATGAGCAGTGTGTGCGACACTGGAACTAGCTCCGAAATAGAATCACGCAACTCTAGAGAATACATAAAAGAAAAATTAGTAAACAACATTTATTGGAGGGAAATAATGTAATAGACCAATTATGCCTATTTATTCTAGCCAAGCAACTAAAAAACAAAAGCCAATCAATTAACATAACCTCTGTTCTAACATACTCTCATATATAGATTCTATCCGCAGCGGCTGTCAAAATGAGCGTCGAGGATGAAGTGTTTCGAATTCAGAAAAAAATTGGCAAAATATCGACGTCCAGCGATGGCGCAGTGAGTAAATAAAATAATTCAAATGCAGCAATGTACAAGTGCAAGTTGCTTTTTGATTAATAAATTGATTGTGCAGGGCCAGGACCAGGCACTGGATCTCTTGAAGGCGCTGCAGACACTCAATATCAATCTGGAGATATTGACAAAGACGCGCATCGGCATGACGGTGAACGAGCTGCGCAAGAGCAGCAAGGACGACGAGGTGATTGCGCTGGCCAAGACGCTGATCAAGAATTGGAAACGTTTTCTAGCCAGCCCGGCGCCGCCCGGCACGCCCAAGGAGAGCGCCGCCAGCAAGGATAGCAGCAATAGCAATAGCGGCTCCAGCGCAACAAAATCCTCGAGTGCCAGCAAGTCGAATTCATCGAGTGGCAAGGACAAATCGAGCAGCAGCAGCAGCAACTCCACAAAGGATAAGCGCGAGGAGAAGAAGCCCGCCGCGGCACAAACATCATTTCCAGCGGGCGGCATGACGGACGCCGTGCGGCTCAAGTGCCGCGAGATGCTGGCGAATGCATTAAAAATTGGCGAAGTGCCGGACGGTTGTGCCGAGCCTGAAGAGATGGCCGCCGAGCTGGAGGAGGCCATCTACATGGAGTTCAAGAACACCGATATGAAGTACAAGAATCGCATACGATCGCGTGTCGCCAATCTGAAGGATCCAAAGAATCCCGGCTTGCGCAGCAATTTCATGTGCGGCGCCGTCTCGGCCAAGCAATTGGCCAAAATGACGCCCGAGGAAATGGCCAGCGATGAGATGAAGAAGCTGCGCGAAAAGTTCGTCAAGGAGGCAATCAACGATGCCCAATTGGCCACCGTTCAGGGCACCAAAACCGATCTGCTCAAGTGCGGCAAATGCAAAAAGCGCAACTGCACCTACAATCAGCTACAGACACGCTCTGCGGACGAGCCGATGACCACGTTTGTCATGTGCAACGAGTGCGGCAATCGTTGGAAGTTCTGCTAAGCTCGAGTCCGAGTCCCAGTCCTTCAATTCATTTACACCAAATTCTTACAAGCACACACCCCCCCCCCCCCCCCCCCCCCCCCGCGCGACCCCTTTAAGATTAATTCAAGATATTGCATGTGCGCACGAGAAGGAATACACTTTATATTTGAACGCATTCACTGACCACCTAAATTACAAAATTTCAATAAAAACAAAAATATATAAATATATAATATATAAATATGTTTTGTTTTTTTTTTATCAGTTTTAAGTCGCCTGCAGTTGGGGTACAGCATGCACGCCACCAGGGTTGTCAAACGTTTCTTTAGCGGCTAAAAATTGAATTTTATTGGAGTGTAATATGTGTATTTCGACCATTTATGTATCTCTTAACTTGAATAGCTGCCACATTAAATCAAGAATATGCATTTAAATTTTCTAGTTTGCTGCACTAACTTAATTGGAAATAATAAAACAGCTGCATGACGTCAGAAATTGTTGGTGCACTTGAGTAACAAGCAGTTCGGTCACATTGCTGCGCCGTTTTTACGCTAACCAAGTCCGGTCACATTGCCGACAGTCCACAATTTTTGTTTGCAGCGATCGGTCGTGTTCGGTTTTGTGCTCGGCTGGTTATTTTGGTTGTTGAGGTAACTACCGTTAAAAAAAAAGAAAGAAAAAAAAAATCACCCAAGCCAATAACAAATTAGCTAAGCGAATGTGTGAACGCGTGTGCTTGCGCTACCGAAAGTGGCAATAATTTAAGTTTAAGTTAAAGTCCAAACTGCCATTGTTAACCTGTTGCGCGCTGCACTCGATGGTGCGTGACCTATTTATGTAACCTGTTTTTAAAAGAATATACCGCTTTAACTAAGCTCCCAAAGCTACAAGTTTTGCCTGGTTCTGGTACCTGGGACTGTGCACCTCGAACTGGAACTGGTACTAATACGGGCTAAAAGTGTACAAAGTGTTAATTATATACGTTAATGGTCGCTAGCTGAGAACTTGGCAAAAATAAATTTATTATCGAGCGCTGTTTAAAAAATCAAAAGCTCTCTTCTAACTTTTCAACAGTGAAGAAAAAAAAATGAGTGCATTCACCCTGCAAGCCATGTGTTAGTGTGTGTGTGTGTGAGTGTGTGTATGATGTGTCTGTGTGAAACTAGAAAAGTGCGCTGAAAATCGAATAAGAGTATCAAAGCTTGCCAAGGGCGTAGTTATTTGTGTTTTTTTAAGGGTCACAAGTGAAACTGACACCCAACATGTTTTCATCTCTTTATATGCTGTATATGCGTCTGTGTGAGGGTGTGTGTGTGTGTGTCAACAGATGAGCTTTGGTCTGTGGCTGAGACGTGGCTGCATTCTGGCTAAGCCTCTGACCAAATTATGGTTAGCTACGCTTCAGGTTTCGTTGTCTAGAACGGTACTAATATGCGCACACACACACACATAGGCGCAGAGAGAGTACAGCAAACACCAATACACTAACTCATACACACACTTGCGCACCTGTTAAAGAGCCCATAAAAGAGAGAGCCGTGTACAAAGAGCGGCTCACATTGCAGCCGCCGCACATTCATATCCCATGGGTGCCCCTTGCTCCCCCTCTCTCTCTATGTCTTTCTCTTTTACTCACGCATTCAATTCATAGAAAAGAAAAAACTAGATAACTCGCTCGCAAGCCTTGAGCTTGCGCTTGAGCCGGGGCCAGAATTAAATTCAACGACAACAAAAACAACACTTGCTTGGCCGGTTTGTTGCACAACGGGATATTTTGTAGCTTGCAGCGCTGAGAACCCTTTTCAATAAAAACACCTAAAAGGCCCCACTTTGTATGTGTGTGTGTGTGTGTGTGTGTGTGTGTGTTTCTTTACGTTTCTGCTAACATAGTTATTGTTGTTGGCTGCGCAGCTTTCGCGACTTTGCAGCAGCAACAGCAGCCGCACACGCAGCCAGCGGCTGCGACTTTCTGTTTGTTTGGTGAAACTTTTTTTAAGGTCGGCATCGGCATAATAATAATAAAAAAAATAAAAAAAAAAACACACACACATATACATAACTCATACAACGCACTTTGTACATTTTGGAAGATTTAAAAGAGCAGCTGTAAATGCGCTCTGCACTGCAGTTTAACAGTTGAAGCGCTGTTAATGTCAAAGTGAAACAAAAACAACAACAACGAAATCGTAAAGTATGCAGATAGATATTATACTTAAAGCGTAATGTACGTGGCAGCGGCATACGAACTTTCACTAATGACTCTTGGTGAACTCTCACACACACGAGCACACACTTGCACACACTTGCACACGTGCATTTACCATACGTGCTAATATGTGATATAGCCCAATCAGATTTGTGCTTCTGCTAAAGTTAACATGCTTGTGCTTGCACTCTTTAAATCTGTCACCAAACTCTAATCAGAGAATTTATCACTGTCGCGTTAATGCATTCTTAGCGCAATTGAACATATCAAATTTCTTTCCTGTTATTGCTTACATGATTATACTTGTTTTGCACCGTTAAAAATGCTAATGCTTTCCAATCAGAGAGTGTATCGGTTTGGCTATCTTCTACTTAGAATTTTGTCTGTTGTTATGCATATCTCCAATTGAATCGTGCCTAAAACGAAAATTCAGTCAAGATGTCGCTGCGATGATAATGTTTTTATTATTTGTTTAGTTTTGATTATGCTCACTTTAACAGGCGTCGCTGCTTATCAGTTTTGTTTACTGATAAAATTGTTAGGCAATACATATTTTAAATAATGTTGAGCAGAGGGTCTGCTCAAAAGTTTGGGCACACTCTCTTTCAGTACTTCCCTCTCTCTCTCTCTCTCCACCCCTTCCACTCTTACCAGCCCCCTCTCTCTTCTTCTACCTCTACCTCTCTTCCTGCCCACATCTCTTTTCCTGCCCTCCTCTCTCTTCCTGCCCTCATCTCTCTTCCTGCCCTCCTCTCTCTTCCTGCCCTCCGCTCTCTTCCTGCACCCGTCTCTCTTCCTGCCCCCTTCTCTCTCACTCGCTCTATTATGTGTGGGAGCGGGGTGCTGTTGTGTGCATTGTATTTTGATCGTCAGAGCGTAACCAGACTGTTTAACGTACTTTTATACCTATGTTATGTGTGTATATGTATATGTATATGTTTATATGTGTGTATGTGCATGGCTCGAGTTTTCTGTGCCACAAAAAATGCTGCTTTAGTTATTTCGTCTGTCTGCAATTACATACCTAGACACACACACGCACACACACACACATACACACAGACATTCATATGGTATGCACATACATACATGCTTCTGCATATGTATGCGATTAGTATATCAGTTGCCAGAGACGCCTCCAACTGTGCAATTATCTTATGACGCATGTGCTTGGCTTAAGGCTTGGACTAGGTGAACAATTGTTTTTCGTATCTAAAGTATCAAGTTCGATAACTGATAGGAACAGGAATACATATGTGTAACTGCTTTACACGCAAGACAAAACATTTGTTTTTCAATTGAATACCAAACTGAGGACTTTTGCATACCTGTTCTATCAGTTTCCACTCATTTTCCGATCGTTGAACTAACGAACTTTGTATTTTTCGCAATTAACAAGGTTTTTTTCTTTCTGTAATTCTTTGTATTTAACTTAAAACTCCATTTACGAAGAGGAAAAACCTCAGGCAAGATTTTCGAAAAAAAAAAGTTAAAAAAAATTTTCAAAATTCTTAAAAACAACAGATTACAAACTTAGTTTTTGCTTAAAATTTTAAATGGAATTGAGGATTTAAATTGTTTTCTTCTTGCACTTAGTTTCTATTCGGATCAATCGCACCTGTAGATAGATAGACCCCCCCCCCCCGTCCCCTCCCTCGCACCCGTTAGCTATGAACAGGCGGCCTTTCATTTAGGCCACAAATTTCTATGGCCTAAATGAATCGCACAGTTTGCCGTATAAGTAATGAAAGTAAATTTTTTCAATGAAAACAAATCGAAAACAAAATAAAGAAAAGGAAAACGATATAAAATGATTATTTGCATAACAAACGCAAAAGTTGAGCTTCGCTTGCAACGGAACAAGCGAATGCCACTTGTTCTGATTGGAAGCAGCAGCAGAAGAAGAAGAAGACACAATAGTTTTGAAAAGTGAAATTGTGCCTGGGCCATTTTTGCATGTCTAAAGGTTTTGGCTTTTGTGGCCGTTCGATTTGGATTTGGGCAGCGGGTTTTCGGATTGGACTTTTGGTCACACACACACACACACACCCTGTGGTAACAACAATGACAACAAATTTGTCGTAGAGTGTTAAAAATGAAATGAGGAAATGGATAGAGACATTTGTACAACAGCTTGTGGCAGAGGAGGGGAAGACGGCGACAGCTTTGTAAATTCTTTCAATTTACCGTAAACTTCACCTTATTTTTTTATTTTTTTCCCCCAACTCTTATACTTGTTTGTTTTTTCTTCTTTCTTTAAGCCGGTTTTAAGCGCCTGCAGCAACTTGTTGTCTGTTTATGTCTAATATGTCCAAACAAAGAGCGACTCTTTCGACTCATCTCTCTTCTGCTCTCTTTCAACAGCTAAACGGGCTTTGCATTGGATGCCAGAGAGCCAGGAACAGTAAATGAAGGACGACGAATATGGTGATTGTAACACGTGTAAGTTAAGAGCACGCCAGAGAGAAAGAGTGAGAGCCATGAAAACTTTGTGGCCCAGCTCATTCCAAACGGAAGTCCACGCATACAAGCACACATGTATATACCCTGTAGCTATTAAGCAATGTTGGTGTAAAATGGCTATGATAGAGTTATGCATGCATATGTTACAGTCAGAATTGGATAAGAGACTTTATCTTGTGCCATCCATCTCAGCAGCAATACAAGCTAGGCTCAACAAATTAGCTATACACAATACAGGGTATCTTCATGTGCAGCACTTTGCTGCATTCTTTGCGTTTTGTATTTGTTTGTGTGGATAGCTCCCATGCCTCGTATATCTATCACGCCTGTCCCTGGCTGGCTTTTTGCGTTACGCTCAAGTGATTCTTTAAAATACAAAACAAAAAAAAAATGTTGTAAAAAAAAAACACATCACTGCGC